CTGGAGAACGGGACCCAGTGCTGAGGACATGGTTCAGTGGGGACCTGGCAGTGCTGGGGAATGGTTGGACTTGAGGATCTTGAAGGTTTCTTCCAGCCAGAACCACTCTATGGTTCTACAGCCCTTTGTCAGCTGCTCTGCTCTTCCCTTGTGACTCTGGAGAGTGGCCTGAGTGGTACCAGTGACACTGGGCTGTTGCCAGGTGAAGCCCAACACCCAGGCACATACAGGGGGAGAGAAGAAAGGAACTGGTAGAATTTGGGAGGCAATGGGGTGAGCTCCCCTCACCCTTAGGCACAGGGAGCAGCTGAGCTCCTGTCAGCTCACTGAGAACCTACATGTCTCCCTGTTCCAGCTGCCTCCACCAGCACTTCTGGGCTTGCTTAGCTCCTGCTGAGACTAAAGCTATCAGACACTTACCCAAACAACAGACACTATTTTCCTTGGGTCTTAGAGTGGATTTTTGGTTTGCCAAATTTGTGCTGTAATCCCATAAGCCGCTTTGAGTAAGGGAGAGACCAGGTAACTAACAGAACTTAAGTCCAGTCCATTTTTTTCCTGATGCCTGGCTTTTCTTTTGGTGCTAATACCATTGTTTTGAGATAAACCCAGCACCATTATCCAACTGAAAAATCCACAGACACCCCTGTTCTGTGTCAGGTAATCTGCTGGAAGCTTCTGTGCCTGGCCAGGCAGCCTGCTGCTGCTCATCTGCCCAACGAGTGAGGAGTTCACCACAGTTCCTGCATCTCTTCTCTCCCCACACACCAGCCACCAGCCTCATTCTACCCACCACAACACCTGCAGCTAGAGGGACTTCTCTTCCTCATCTTACACTCAGAGCTCTGCTCACCCTTGTGCCCAACACCTCCCTTCTCCTGGCAGTTATTCTCCTTTACACCACACATCAGATGTTGGTAGCAGAATACAAACTGCAGCAGCTAGAGTGACCCAGGAGAACCCCAAGCCTAAAACATTTGAAATAACATTTCAAAGCTATTTTTTAAGTTCACTTTTAATGAAGGAGGTTTTCAACCCCTTTAAAGGTATCTGTTGTTAGACATGAGGCCATTTTTTGTCTCCCCTAGTTTTGAGTAATTATGCATGAACATCTTTTCCCCATTTCAGCTCCTTGCTGCTGTTTCTCTGTTTCATAAATCCATTCCAGGACTGCTTCCATTAACTTTTAGGAACAGCTGATGATCTCCAAAACCACAGCAGTGTTCAGTCAGTGACCCATTCCCACTCCTTCCACGGATCACCTAGACTCCTGTGGAGGGTATTACCACTCCACCAACTCTGTTTCCAAGGCCAAGTCTTTACAAATATGAATATTCAACACAATGGGTTTCTTTCTTAAAAACTTATATTTTGGGTAGCAGATAGATTTTAGTGTGCTGAAACCACCATTTCCCAGAGCAAACACTGTTGTTATTTTATTCCCCTGGTGCCTCTGTGTATTTGTTCAAATATTTGCCTGTTGCCCTTTTCTGAGGCTGCAGAAACTTTGGAACAAGAACTGCATCGTGGCAGTTTGTGTCATTAAAAGCAGGACTAGGTGCTACAATAATACTATTATTTCCTAGTAATTGCAGTCATGGGATTTCCCTGTGCATGCAAGGTTTTTTTTTCCCTGGGGTGTGCTTTTAATAAGAATTTTAAATTAAAAATTGGAAAAAAAAAAAAAAAAAGCAAACAACCAACCAAGGCTGGGAAAACAAAGAACAGACTAAACCCTGAAGAGTTTCACCATCCTGATTTAGGACTAATCAACCAGCATCAGTCACACAATTCAAAAGCAGCCGTAGCAATAATCTCAAACTTAGAAACACTGTTTTCATATTCAAATTTGAAATTATTTTTCCAATATTACCTTAAAAGAAAAATCAAGATCAGCTTTAACTTAAAAACCCATCTAAAAATTTATTCAAGTGTAAGGTGTTTTTCTAGACTCTTTCAAAAATTATGCTTCCCAACAAATCATTTCTGTTTTGACTAACTGGGTTTTTCCAATAAAAATGTTGTGATAAAAAAATTCCTAAAGCAGCTCAAGTAAAAAGAGTTATTTTTCAGAACAGGCTTTTGTCTTCCTGACAGCATCTTCCATGTGGAAGCAGGAACTCTAAAACCTAACAGAAGGTGTATGTGGA